TATACCTTTCTAGTACTTATCATAACTATAAGAAACTCTAAGAAACAGTCGCAAAATAATCTAAGTTCCATGAAGAAAAGCATTACAAGCACAGTATTGGCAAAAAAATCAGAGAACAGGCTTGCGAATCTCAATGAATCTCTGATTCATGCAAAACCTGATTTGGGGTGGAGGGGCTGTCTTCTTCAGTCACTTGGGGACCTCAGAATCTCTCCATCCTGTACCATCCTCTTAACAGTCAATTTAACACGTGGCTTCCAACACCTCCACAGGAGGAGGGATGGAGGAGGCTTGCAGCATGTGGTCCAAGTGAGTCACATGGCGCCAACTTAACTGCAAAGAAGCTTGGAAATGATTTATTATATTTTCTTGGCTGCACCGCATGCCATGTGGGATCTTAATCCCCCAACCAGGGATCGAAACGGGCTGTCAGGGGTGTCCCAAAGTTTGCAAATAGAGATCACAAGGATTATTTGGATGGCACTGCTCCTGCCACTTCGGTGCTCACAGAACCTCAGGGCTAGCTCAGTGCTGGCAAGGACTTGAATACCTGTAAAACAAAGTTACCTTCATCTTATTAAAATGTTATCCATTAACACAATTTTAACACAGAAGGCAAGGGCAGGGAAAGAAAGGGGGTTAAGTGCACCTGCATGCATAGAAGTAAAATCACAAACAGCCCTTTATAAGAGGGCAAATATATCCTCAGTCTTCCTTTAAACACATCTTTTTCTTAGAAATTCATCATTTTTCATTTTAGATTATGATCACTGTTGGCAAAGACAGAGTAGGTGCAAGCTTTCTGTAAGTCAGTTCCTAAGTATTTGTTGAGGGGAAAAAGTTTTCAATTAAAAAGAAAGTAAAGCATATCACTTGAACCTAAAAACACTTGTTTGTTCAAGTACTACAGGGTGTCTCTTCTACGCATTGGTAAGGGAGCTGTAGGCAGCACAGTAGGAAGGAAACTGCCTACCAATGCAGGAGACGCAAGACAGGTGGGTTCCATCCCTGGGTCGGGAAGAACCCCTGGAGGCGGCAAAGGCAACCCACTCCAGTATTCTTGCCTGGAGAATCCCATGGACAGAGGAGCCTGGCGGGCTACAGTCCATGAGGTCGCAAACAGTCGGACATGACTGAGCACAACGTTCTGTCAGGAAGACCTAGTTAGTTCTGGTGAAGTAAGATCTTAGCAATGTATCTCTTCCTGTCATCTGATACAAAGAATAAGCACTGGGTTGTTAAATTTTAAAGACTCTTTTCCCACTTAGAGGTTAAATCCCTTTCCTACAGGAGCCTATACAACCCTCAGAAAAGGTGTTTGAGGATTACTTAAAAACTTGGCATCTAGCTACCCAATTTGCAACAATTTAACTAAAGTAGGCTTCTGACAAAGCACAGGACTTCCCTGGTGGTCCAGTGGTTACGACTCTGCACTCCCAACTCCCAAGGCAGCCGGGACAGGTCTTATCCCTGGTTGGGGAGCTAAGATCCCGCTTCTGCTGCCTGGCATGGCCAAAAGGAAACACTCACTATAGTTGGTGAAGGAGAGAGATAGGGAGGCCTGGTATGCTGCAGTCCATGGGGTTGCAAAGGGTCAGATAAAGTTAGCAACTGAACAACAAAAGTCAGTACAAAATCTCATTATTTGAAAAGATATCATGTTTTCATTAGTAATATTTATCAAAGAGTAGGTAAAAAAACAAGTTTTAACAATGCATTTCCTACTAATATCTATACACCTGTGTATCAGTTTTAAAAGATCGTTTATTATATTTGTTCATCAGTACAATTTACTTGATGACCTTACAATTTACAGTTTACTTGATTTCCTAGAATAGAGGTGCCTGGAAAGTATTTTAAATACTCAATCTTTTATTTAGTTTTCCTTATAAAATAACAGTTCCTTTAAACAGACAGATGAGATCAAATGGGACAGGCTATGATGCTGTGACAACACAAACACTTTAAGTCTCAGTAGCTCTTCCCCCTATACACAGCTGGGTCCCATGTCCCTTAGAAGTGAGCCAAATGTCCCACTCCACCTCTCCTCCTCATACAGAGACCCTAGCTGACAGAACCACCACTTCCTTGGAATATTATCCATCACCTTAGAAAATCAGAGAATGAGGAAAACCATGGGCTGGATCTTAAACGTTTCACCTGGAGATGACATCGTGTCCCTTCCACTTTCCCCAGCCCAAAATAGTTAGATGCTCTTTTGCAACCATACCACACACCAGGAAGTAGACTTGATTCCAAGAGCACAACCAAGGCCACCTACAAATACCTTTGTTGATGGCATCCCTCCTCCCTCCCTTCAGCAGTATTTCCCCCAACATTTTAACAAGCACACAGAAGTTCTCTCGGTGCAGGCAGGGACAGGGCAGCAACACGAATGAAGGGCTGGCTTATACATAAATTCCCACCATCTTTTCCACAAAGACACAAAGAAAAGTTGCTTTAGACATCAACCCACCTGAACTCCAGCTATTAGCACCACCTGGGTCATGTCCAAGCCATCTCCCCACCATGGACCGACATGCCAAAAAGGCAGCTACTAATGAGCCTCTTCCTACTTTTTGGACACCAAAAACTGGAGGTTTAAGTCTCTCTCTGCCCCCCTAGGTCCCGACCACTTCCACCTCACCTCCGAGGCTCTCTAGCACTCCTCTGGGAGTATGTGTGGTCCCCAGCAAGGCCTCATCAGTACAAATTCTAAGTACTTTGGGAAGAGAGCAGCTTCAGCTGAAGATCCACCAGAAGGGAGCTTACAGAAACAGACTCCTCAGTGGATCTCCAGCTACGATCAGGACTACAGTTAAGTTGCCATCACACAATTCCTAGACGAGGAAACATTTTCAAATTGCATGGATTATTAACATAGGCAATACAATTATTTACTCTTAATTATAGATATTAAGCTATTTTACAAATAAGCACTGTAAAAGGTTACTTAAGGTCTTCCATGGGAGTGGTGGGTTTTTATTAATAAAAAAAATTCACATAGGGAATTCCCTGGCAGTCCCGTGGTTAGGACTACGCACTTTCACCGCTAAAGGTTCAGGTTCAGTCCCTGGTTATGGAACTAGGATCCCAAGAGCGGCCAAGACATGGCAAAAAAGGTATATAATTAGAATTAGGAACAAAAACACCATTATTTGTGGATCCGAAGCAAGTTCAACTACCAGAGGATGGCAGCAGAAACTGACAGTGCCTCTGACCAAGAAAGGAGGCCTAAGGGTTAGTCTTGCAAATTCTAAAATACAAAACAGTTTGTAAGGTTGTCCTCTATATCTCAAACATTTCTCAGCAGGCTAGATATTTTAGGAGAGATGTCAACTTTTCTCAATGAAACTATGTCCACGGAAATCTGACTCGTGGATGAACTGATCCAAGAGGCGATGCAAGAAACAAGTAGAACATTTTGACATCTGCACATTTCAGAATGGCCCATTACACAAAACAGGAAGCCAAATCATGGGTTTTAAAAATTGTTTTATTTGGGAAAAGTGCGTCTTACAAAAGGGAAGCTGCAAAATACAGAGACCTCTGCAACAATTACTGTTTTGTTTTTATCTTTTTTTCTTTAAGTGAAAAGAACGAGTGATATCCGAGGCATCAGAGCAGTAGATGGACATATCCGGGGCACCTCCAAGTTATTTTCAGGAAATAGCAACAAAATGCAAAGCTAAAATTTCCAATCGAGGAATTCTTCTAACAATTTAACATTAGCTTATCTTGTGGAAACCACCCTCTGTTTCCCCTTTTAGTGGAAAAGCCTGACTTACTATACTGCCAACCAATGACTCCATTATACAGGAAACAGCTTAGAACGTAGTTTTGAATCTCACTGTCTAGCTGCAAAGCTCGGGGATGGAATGAGGCAAATACCCACAAAAAAGGAACACAAAAACCTGACCAAAAACACCTCAAATGAGGACAAAGGTTTGTCAGAAAGTGCCTGGACTGAGAAGTCTAGGAGATCATACAACATTAAACACAACTGTGGACCCATGCCCTAGGTTGTGTTAATACATGGGATAACCAGAAAGTTTGCACTTCTATGGCTAAGCCCATTTCTCTATTTATACAGACAGAGCTATCACTGCTCTATTAACAGCTACCAATAAACTGCTTTGTCCTTTAAGATCTATTTGCCACACGAGGCTGAAACCACTAAACCAAGTTTTTTTGCCAAGGCTACAAACACTGCATCTATGCAGGGATGGGAAGCTTGTCACACACTCACACTCACATATCCCAAATCCATCAGCCTTGAGGAGTCAGCTTCCAACTCTAAATTATTTTCTTCCACTCCCATCTCTTTATATGTGTTCTTTCACAATTTTCCTATCACGCTAAAGACGGTAAAAACCTCAAATACATTCACACCTGGTTCTGGTTACCCAGTAGTATTATTACTTGTGTGCAATGAGACGAAGACCAAAACCACAGGCTGAGTGCACAGGGCGGGGATGAAGGACAGGGACCAGACAGAAAAACACACATGTGCAGGTTTTACCAGAAACCAAGTACCCGCCTCCCTAGTCTACAGCAGGAGGCGGCTACTTGCTACAGTTCAGATCCTTCACCCATCACCCCGCTTCCTGGACCCCCAAAGCAGGGGCCAGTGTGGGTACTTCTGAACCTGGGGCCCTCCAAAATGAGTCCTGGAAATCCAGGTATGCTCCCCTCGAACTGTGTGGATCTGGTGGTAAAACGTGACGCGACAAACCTACACTAACTGTCTGACAGTTAAATTCATGTTACAAAAAAACTAACTTTCAGATTTATTTTTGTAACTTTTTCAAACAGAGAAAACAACATACTCCTTGGGGAAAGGTGAGGGGGTGAGAAGACAGGCCCTGGGTAAAAATGATTACGACAGCACCTGGAGTTGAGAGGCCTGCCTAGGAGAGCGGCCTGGGCACGGCCGCCACCCCCCGAGGCCCGCTGCCGTCTGAGGCTCGGCAGACCAGTTCACACGCTCCGCCAAGCTGCTATAGATCCAAGTCATAAAAATCTTCCAGCTCATCGTGAAACAAGTCCCACTCATCTTCAGAGTCTGTCAGGTCGTCGTCCCCACCTGCAGCCAAAAGCATAAGCAACATCTCGCCCAGCTCAAAGGTGACAACCTCCTCTTCGTCGTCAAAAGGGTTGCCGTTCTCCCGTTCCTCGATGAGCTCCCAGAAGTGGTTCCTTCGTTGGGCCTGTAAAAAACAAGGCCGTGATAGGGGTGGCACTGCCGGGCAGCATCTTCTAGTCTGTGGTTTCTAAGGCAAAACGTCCAGCACACCAGAGGGAATGACGAACCAAGACTTCCGAGTTAGGGTCGACTTTTACCAACGCCTCCCCGCTGGTTACTCGGCACACTGCTTAGTCTAGAGCCTTAAGCGTTCTAGCTTTTCCTCACAGCCCTCCCGGTCTGCTGAGGTTGGTCTCCTCCTTTAATCCTCTAGTCTCTCGCTCCTAGACCTGGGTCTTCACCTTCCCCTGCCCCTATCTGTGCGGGCCTCAGGCTCAGCGTGTGGCATTTCCCCTCCTTTAAAAGAACAGTGAGAGTTACCCGGTATCTGCTTGATGTTCCCACTTTCTGTCTCTGTGGCTCCTCTCTACGGCCATCAGGGTACGCATGCTTGTAAAAACAGTTCCCTCCAAATGGGCAGCTCCCACGGCCTTCATCAAAATACCTGCATGCCTTGTTGCTGGAAAGGAAAATATCGCAACCCTTATTCACGGTGGATTTCAGGTCTGTATTCGACTATCATCCAGGGTTTCTTTAAAATGGGGAGGGAATAGAACCGGTACGTCTGTTAACAGCCCTCCCCAAGGTGTGTTCTTAAACATGTGTGTGCTACCGCATGAAAACACTGACTAGAACCAGAAACTGTTCAAGTCGAGCAGTTTAACAGCCCTAGAATCGCAGATCCAGCAAAGAGAACCTTCGAGAAGGCCCACACAGAAGAATACAGTAGGACAACTATGACACAGACTTGGGATAAGGCAGACCCCATTCCTGGGGCGTTAGCCATACCAGCAGTGTAGGCTTCATTATAACACAGCCCCTGGGCGTGCACCCCAGCGACTGTGTTACAGCAAGATACACACCGGGTAAACGTCATCAGGGGTGACAAACCGTACTGGCAAGTAAGAGAAAGGGTAGGAAGGAGGTAGGAGTGTATAATGCAGCACTGTTTCTTTTCAAAGTGAGCCCAAGCGACACGTTGGGATCTGAGCTTGAGAAAAGGCTGCAGTGCTCATACCTCATTGCCTCCTTGTATTTCTGAATGAGTTTCTGCTTCTCTTCTTTCTCCTCCACCCAGTACTCACTTGGAATGACAAAGTTAGATGTGATCCGGCATTCTGGGCAGGACCTGGGAAACAATGAACAGGCTGCAATGCAAATTCCCCTTTACAGGCCCACTCTCCTTCAAGGACACACCCTGGTGTGTCAACTCCAGATTTAAAGACTTAACTGAAAGGCAAATGGGCACTTCCTGCAAGGGTTCCACACAACTGACCATTTCCTTTTTTCGTAAGTTCAACTCAATGGCTAGCCAGTTCATTAAAAAAAATAACTTTAGGTTAAAAAAAACAACAACAAAAAGAAGACATTTCACACAGACTCCTTTTTCTTTCGTTTAAATAAATTTATTTCTTGTAACTTGCTCTGTTTAGATTATGTAGTTTTTGTTCAGTTATGAGAACAATTTTTAAAGGATGGTGGATTATTGGCTAGCTTAATGGATGGAATAGGAAAGTGGAAAATGTAAAATGCCAGGAAACATACATTCAGAGCTAGATACGCTTCTCTGACCCTAAACTGGCTAATCCATTAAACACAATCTCCTCAGAAAAAAGCACGAAGATTCTACTAACTGATACATAGGGTTTTCCTCGTTCAAATAAAAGTAGATATACCAACTAATCTAGAAGCTAGCTGAAATACAAAGAACTCCCAATTAGAAGAATACCCCAGTTTCAAGATAAAATGCATGCATTTAAATGCGGTCCATCTGGCTGAAAGTTGGCACAAGATACTAAATTCTTCCCCAAAATAGAAAGCACAAACGAAGATTGGGGAGGAGTCTCACTTTATGATCTTGCTCTCAAATTGCTTAGCACTCCTCCACTTGCGAATACACTTGAGACAGTAGGTGTGGTTGCAGTTGGAGAGAATCCCGAAGCGGCGCTCGCTGGGGCTGGCTTTCTCGTAGACCACCTCCATGCAGATGCCACACACCATGTCCTTGCTGCGCTGCACTGCGAACGAGAGCTCCATGTCCTTCTCGTGGGCCTCGATGCAGGACTAGAGAGTGGACAGAGAGGGGCAGTCAGGTCGTGGAATCGATAGACCGCTAAGAACTCCTGTTCAGAGAGTCAAACAGCCAACAGAAAAGAGAATTGTTCCCAACATGACATCAGAAACAGCTTTGTTCACCAGGCGGTACAGGTGTGCTGATGGAGGGACTTCACGATACTGTCAAGTCAAACTCTGAGGACTCAACTTCAAGAACTAAAGAATTACCTAGTTTTCTCTATCCTGCAACTCAACCTTTGTTACCCACATTACAGGCTGTTTTTCATACTGTTTGTTGACGTACTTTGTTTCTAGATGGAAAATGTAATTAGGATTAAGACTCTAGTTTGCCACCTGTCAGAAAATAAGAGTGAAGGAAACTAACATTTATTAGATGACAATTATGTGCCAGGCATGTAAGCTTCACATTCAAAATAAAACAGTATTGAGACATATAATCTCATACTATATAATGCATTCACTCAAAGTATACAATGAAATGGTTTTTGGTACATGCAGAGTTGTATAAACATCACCTCAGTCTGTATCGGGACATTTTCATTACCCCAGAGAAACTCCAAATCCATAGTAGTCACTTCCCCTCAACACCCTCAGTCCTAGGCTATGACAATCTGTGGATATGCTTATTCAGGGCGTTTCATAAAAACTATGTGGTCATTTGTGACTGGTTTTGCTCACTTGACTACATTTTCAAGGTTATCTATGTTGTAGAATATATGACTCTCATTTCTTTTTATTGGGTAATATTCCATCGTATGGAGAGACCAGTTAGTTTTTCCATTCATCAGATGACAGATACTTTGGTTGTTTCCACTCTGGAGCCATTATGAATAATGCTATGAACATTCATGTACACATTTCTGTGTGGACATCACATACTTTTAATTTTAAATGAGGTATAATTGACATAACATTATACTACACATATTTTATTCTATAAAAAACATGCTAGTTATTATACCATGCTTCACCCCCACCCTCACAACCAAATTAATTTTTATTAAACAGAGAAGGCTATGATTAGAAGCAAAATTTCCTCTAATCAGGTTTGCAATACAGTATATTCACAAATAAACAAACAAAAAAAGACACAAATGGGCTTAAAACCATAGTCTGAAACTGTCATACACTACTACTGAGAATGTAAAATGGTACAGTCACTGGGAAAAAGTTGCTCAAAATATTAAGCACAGAGTTACCATATGACATATCAACCTTATTTTAAGGTAATTAAAATGTATATCCACAAAACTTTATACATGAGTGTTCAGGGGATTATTCTTAATGGGGAAAAGGTAAAACAACCCAAATGGAAAAACAAAATGTCACACAGCCATCCAGAGGATTACTATGCAGCCATGAAAAGGACTAAAGTACGGATACACACTAAAACATGAACAAATCCTGAAAACATTATGCTACTGTTTTAGCCAGTCACAAAAGGCCACATATGATTCCATTCATAGGAAATTCCCATAACAAACAGAAAAATCCATGGAGACACAAAGTAAATGAGTTGTTGCCAGGAGCTGGAGGAAGGGTAGAATGAAGACTAAAGGAGTTAATGAGTATTAAGTCTCTTTTCTGGGAAGAATGAAAATGTCCTAAATTAGAGAACAGTGGTCATGGTTGAACAACTATGCAACTGTATTAAAAACCAATGAAATACACATTTTAGAAGAGTAAGCTGTATAGAACTTGAATTTCAGAAAAACCATCGTTTTAAAAAAAGGAAAGAAAGAGGCGGGGGGAGCCCATAATCTGAGGTTCTAAAAGCCTAATTACTGATAAAACAGTCAAGAAGGCCAGGAAGGAAACACTCCTACTTAAAGAGAACCATTTGATTCACCCAATGTCTCTTTGGCATGAGCTGACAGTGCTGTGAAAGGCAGACATTTCTCACACCTGTTAGCGTGCGTGCTTCCTTCCGACTTACTTTTATATGTTCCGACCTCTGGGCGGCATCCACGGGATGGAGGACCTGCAGCCCGCACATGTCACATGCGTCCCCGTGCAGATATGCGCAGTTCTCCCCGTAGCGGCACTCCCCCACCGCAGCATAGGGGCAGAGCTGCTTCTTGGTCTCCACTGCGCTTTGCTCCTTCTCTGCGTCTTCCCTGGTCACTGAGCCCTGCAGCGGGGCTTCAGCGGAAGGGGCAGCTGAAAAATGTTTAAGAGGGTGCTAAAGGTCCGAAATGGTCAAGGCAGATACATGAACTAGTCTTGCTAAAGAGGATAAAAAGAACTTAAAGAGAAATTCTCAAAATAGTCTATTGAAACTAATTCCCCCACTCTTGAAAGAAATGAATGTCTTTTGCTACTAATATTTCCAAGATTAGCCTTATTTTGAAAAAAACCTTTTTAAAAGTTTTTGAATGCATTTCAACTGTACCGATTAAAGGAGATAAACATCCATTTTCAAAACATTCTACATTCATTACTATTGAAAATCAAGAAGTTTCTTTTGTTCCACCCGTTTTTTTTTTTCTTCAAGGTAACCTAATTTAAGAATATTAAGACTAGGCTAAATATGAAAATTGGAAGCAGGAAAGTTGTGAAAACTCAGCTTATTGATAAAACACTCTCCAGCCTTCTAACTTTTTTTTTCTTCAAATATACTCACTCCGGCCACAGTAGGGCTGCCCTGGAACAAACTCGATGGCATTCACCCAGTCTTCTGAACCAGCCCCTACAGTTGCAAAGTTTGAATTTCTTGACTCAGCTTCGCCCATATTCATATCAACAGTCGGTCCAACTGATGAGAGACTCGAGGAAGCAGCAAGGGATGACTTTGCAGTTAGATCTGTCGCAGTTGCTTCTTCCTGTTTCAGCGGCTTGCTATGTTCATATCTTAACAAGAAAAGAAAATTTACAAAGTCAGCCATCACTGTCTAACCAGAAGCATCTAGATGGAATATACATTCCCAATCCTGTCCTTGGGTTCTTTTCAAATTACTGTGCCTATGAATCATGTGGGAAATTGTTAAAAGGCAGATACCTAATTTCTGAGTCTGGAGTATAGCCCCTAATTTTGCATGTCTCTGACAAGTCCCCACATGATGCCAATGCCACTGGTCCAGGGACCAGTTTGAGTAGCAAGGTCATACAGATTCAGGGCTCTGCAGGTCAAACCACCAATGTCACAACCATTTAAGTCTGTAACTGTAGTTCCAAAGCAGCCATGGCATTATCTAAACAGCTGTGCGTTTGACGTGTGTTCCAATAAAACTTTACATAAACAACATCCAGTCACACGTACTCTACAGGCCATAGTTCACCCACCCCTGCTGTAGACCATCTATTACCCCTCAAACTGCACTCTCATTAGGAGTTTCAGGAGCTGACAATCTATCGTTACCATGGCAACTCCACTAAAAAAAAGACTATGCAGCCAAAACTGACTGACTAAGCAAAGCAAGGTTGACACTCAAATCCGACAAGTAAAAATGTGGACCATTTTACCAACACATAAATTAAAATGTTCCCAATATTAAAAGGGAGAAACAGTATTTATAAAATATACAATGTGTTTTCCTTTTCGCCTACATCCATCCACTCACCTACTTTTCTGAACTCTCACCCTGTACATTTCCCGATTCCTTGTCATCTGTAAAATTATTGAACCTCATCTCCAAATATAGAAAAAAATTTCCCTCAAGAAGCACCTTGCTGCTTGAGAAAATCCTCACAATTCTTCAAATACTTTAGGCTGTGAGATTCACACACAATTAATGATGAACGTAGTATTGGGTTGGCCAAGTTCATCTCGGTTTTTCCATAGCATCTTACAGAAAAACCTGAACCAACTTTTTGGCTAACTCAATCCATAAACTGCTATAATGTATAGTATGTATCTAGCGGTTCCTGACTAATTAACTCACTGGCAATACTAACCATGGGTCATCTGTGTTACAAGTGTCTGTGTTTACATCTAAAAGATAAAACATTCTAACTGAAGACTGCTCTTTAACATGGCAAACATTTGCTGAGCTGACTTTTATCATTATATTATCTCAAACCCTCCTATTTCAACTCTTAAGCATTAGGTAACCTACTTTGAGAATCCTGGTATCAGCCACAAAAACCCAGTGCATTTTATTCAAGGCTGGAATTATGCAAGCTAAAGATCATGAATATGCTTTTTCACTTGGACAGTCTCACTTCATCATCAAAAATGTATTAGAGATGATGTGTTAAGTAGTGTTCTAGCTCTAATGTGACTCTAAAGCTGCCCTGTAAAACAGCAGCCATTAGCTGTATCTAATTATTTACACTTACACTCAAAACTCAGTTCCTTGGTCCTTGCACTAGCTACATTTTCAAGTGTTCAGTGGTCACACGGAGCTAGCAGTTTCTTCTTTGGGCAGCAGACAGAAAGCATTCATGCTATCATAACAGCATTCCTCTGAGGTTTTAAGAGATTTCGGGAACCTTAGAAATCTCACAGTTCAATTACTTTCGCAGCCTTTAACTTAGAAAAGAACCCAAGTTTTGGAATTAAGATGCCAGCTTCACCAATGAAGACAGCCTTCAGGAAATTTTAAAGGATTAAGTAAAACTAAATCTCAAGATTCGTAAAGGGTCCAAGAACTAGTTTCAATGCCCATATTTTAGTTTCTGTTCTTTCTCCTTTGCCATCTTCATTTGAAGAATTTCAGATTAAATGACTCAAATATCTACTTAAAAAACAGAATTAGAATGCTCATCATCATCTATCAAATGGCACATATGTCAAAGCTGGGTTTTTTTATATTTATTTGGCCGAGCTGGGTCTTAGCTGCAGCTTGTGGGAACTAGTTCCCTAACCAGGAACCCCCTGCATTGGGAGTGTGAAGCCTTTGACACTGGGCCACTAGCAAGTCCTACTACAAGTTTTCTGAAAGGACTGCATTTTGTTTTTAAGGTAAATTTATCAAGGAATCAACAAGGTATAATATTTTTGATAGCATAGAATATTAGCAAGAAGGTTCATATTTGTTAACAGTGCAGAATAGATCTGTATAAAATATACTTCTGAAGTAAAAATTTGTAAAGTAAGCACCATGAAAGATAGAGCACAAGAAAGAACTAATAAGAAAGAAAAAGCAAGACTCCTATCCTGAAAGGAATTTGCTAAAAGCTAATGGTTCAGTGAAGCAGAGAACTTTTAGAATAGGAACTGGCCAACTACAGGCCTCAGGTCAAACCCAACTGGAGCTAGGAATGGTTTTGACATTTTTAAATGTTGGGAAAAAAAAATCATTTCATGACATGAAATTAAATTTCAGTGTCCCAAAATAAAATTTTCATTGGAACCTAGCCACACTATTAGCTTATGTATTATGTAGGGTTGTTTTTGTGCTACAAGAGACCATATGGCCTGCCTAGCTAAAAATACTAATTCTCTGGCCCCATACTGAAAGTCTGCCAGCCCCGGCTAATCATATCTACTGGATTCACTGTCATGACAGTGGCTTTGTTAACATTATTAAATTAATTCTTTAATGAATTATCACAGAATCACTGATCCTTTTTAGCCAATGGGGGATTAATGCCGAGACAACATTGAAACCAATATTGTGTTTTCCTTTCATATCTTGCAAAGAGTACTCTGATACAGTTTCCAGCGAAGGAAGTTTAATTTTTCTTCTACACAAAAGAACCACACTTCTCCATCTTGTTGGCTTGCAACGCCCACCACCCCACCCTTATGAGGTCTGATATCTGCCTTTTACGCTTTTCATGTATAGGATTCAGTAGGTCTACAGTGAAAACTCCTCCAAAGGGCAATTCCCTGGCAGTCCAATGGTTTGGACTCCACACTTCCACTGTAGGGAGCAAGGGTTCAATCCTTGGTAGGGGAACTAAGATCTCTCATGCTGTGCAGTCAAAACAAATCAACCATAACCATAGTTGTCAAAGAAGGCAATCCTATCCCTTTCCCAAGTGGGTATTTAGAAACAATGACTGGGAGTTCTGTGGCACTTGCTACAGGGATGCTAGATCTTAGACAACAGTCCTGAGCAACAAAGAACTGGGCTCACTTAAATAACAGGGCCCCATCATGCAAAATGAATACAGCAACATTTCTGAGCTGCTGGAACTAGGGTATCATCTTTCATTTATAAACTACTGCCTTTATGAGGAGTTAAATTATTTGAAATCCCTGGACATTGGTCAGGCTGTATAACAAGATCCCTACATAAGAGATATTTCCCCCACCTCCAATGTCAAGTTTTTACCATGCATGTACTAGAGTATATATTTCATCTATTAAAATGTTATGTTTCTCAAAAAAAAAACCCAAAACCCTACATAGTAAGAGTGAAAAGTAGGCTTAATCCCCCAAGTCTATTTTTAACAAGGAAACAGTCTTGGAACAAGCCCATAAGACTCCTTCCTTAGGTACTCTATAATCAAGCTCTTAATAATCACCTCTATCAGCCAAACAACTGTCACCAAACTTTCCTCTCAGGCAGACTATTAGGATATAGGTTTCTCTAATTCCTTTCACTTTATCCTAAGAATTGTAAAGCCAGCTCAAATCAGGATCATTCTCCCTAAAAGGGAGCTGTATACCCTTTAAAAAGAAAACTAAAATTGTCTCCCACGAGGAAGCCCACTCTGAATACAGGGTTATGCAAAAGCTGGGCTTCTATACTGTTGTCTCAAGGAGAATGTGGAATGCTGCTGGGGCTGGCAGAAGTCCCTGAAAAATAAGCTGATTTAACACAAGAGAATCTAGGATTCAGCTCGGATTTCTTCAGTTTAACCTTATTTCCCAAACATTTCAGCTGTACGGTCCAATTGGAGAGGCACCTCTTCTGAAATAAGAGGTTCATCTGTTACCAACCATACTCATCCACAGTCTATACTCTTATCTCTCCACTCTCCATGGAGTCCATCTCCACTCTCACCCATGTTCAACTCCTCTCTCTCTGCAGTCAATAAGGTCTCTCAACTGACTGCCTAGTCAGGGAACACAACTGCCCTACAATTAAGTTGGACCGTCCTACTACAAAGGAGCAATTGCTCATTTCCGGTAGGACGGATTTCCAACTTTTGCCCTCTTTAATATTGTGACTACAAAAGACATATCTGGGTTATTTAGTTTTAGTTTTTTTTTTCTTTGGGGGGAGTGTCACTATCATTTTTTTCCTTTCCAGCAAAACTGCAAAAATTTAGCAGAGGGCGAAATGACGGACCACATGGAAAGAATCTTTTCCTTTTTCTCTCTTAACTAGATTTCCTAGTAAAAAAGATGTGAGGTAACCTAACATCAATATCCTGCTCATCAATAATTTCTTAGTCTTTTGAACTCCAAGCATTTGAACCCCAATAGCTGACACAATTCTTTTCTCCTAAAACTGGATAGGACATTGTCAAAGTATCTTTTCTAGTGATGGTCCTCCCTTCAACAGGTAGAACCCAATTTCTTTCCCCTTGTACATGCACTGGACTTAGTGACTCGCTTGTAATAAACAGAATATACTGGAAGTGACAGCCTGCGACTTCTGAGACTAGGTCATAAAAAGGTACTGTTGCCTCGTCCCTGAGGTCTCTCTTCAATCACTTACTCTGGGGCACAGGTTAATGTGAGGACACTAACACAGCCAGAGGGAAATGTCCACCAGGCAAGAGACTAAGATATATGAATGAGCCATCATCAAAGTGATCCGCCAGCCCCCATTCAAGACTTGCAGAGGATGGCAGATGCTGGCAACCCGGCTGAAATCTTGGCTGCAATTTCTTGAGAGCCTGAGCTAGGACTACTCACGAAGCTAAGCCACTCCCAGATTCCAGACCCCAGCAACCATGAGATAATAAATATTTCCTGTTTCCAAGCTGCTAAATTTCAGGGTAATTTCTTTAACATCAATAGAAAACTAATACTCCTAGGTATTTTGTAAACTAGCTCTACCCAATGGCTAGCAGAACCCACTGCTCGTGAATTAGTTTGATAAGACTATGGTGCCAATTCAATGAAGAAGGATAAAGTACTTAGTAGCTGACCTCTCGTTCTCCACCATTCTAGGAAGCCAGACACTGCTAAAGCATTTTCCATAATGTCAGCTTATAATTTAGTCTTGCAAGCTCAGGTGGTTTAGGGAAGTTTAGCTGGAATGACAAGACCTCTTAAGTAGTAACCTAATACACTATCCCAAATGCCTATGATCCCATTTTCTCTCCATAATTCAATCTAATAGAGAACTGAAACCAGTCCCAACTGGTCAAACATGCACCTTATTCTTGGTCTTGAAAAGGAAATACCATTAACAAACATGCCTTCACCACACCTTATCCCTAGGTTTGCCCAACATGCTCCTCAGGCACTACTTAAACTTAGGACTATATTATAAACGCATCTTGTAAATGTAATAATACATTCTTTCCAAGTGAGAGATCGGAGAGATGAGAGATCTATCTATCAGAATGTGCTAACATTCCTAAGGAGCACTTTTTAAAGTACTATTCAGGGAATTCCCTGACAGTCCTGTGGTTAGGACTTAGCACTTTCACTGCCATGGCCCACATTCAATCCCTGGTCAGAGAACTAAGATCCTACAAGCCACACACCAGTATTACTTCATAAATCGATTATTTACAAAGCTGTTGGAAATTTCATGTTTTACTCTCAGTTTTTTCTCCCAACCTCTCCATCCACCCTGAACAAAACTAAATTGGAAACAAACTCTTACCTGCAGCGGTCTCCATAAATACAGTACCCTCGTTGAAAATACTTGCACACTACACCATATGGACTGTCAGAGAGGTCGTGTGAGTAGCGACAGTTATCTCCTTCCTTACAAACCCCATGCATGAAATACCTGTGAGACAAAGAACCACAAGTTGGATTACAAGCCAGTACTCAATTCATGACTGACACATTCTTTTTTATTATTATTACTACGTATTTTGGTTGCACTGGGTCTTTGGTGCAGTGTGCGGGCTTAGATCTGGCATGAGAGATCTTAGTTCACCAACCAGGGATTGAACCCGGGCCCCCTGCATTGGAAGCATGGAGTCTTATCCACTGGAAAGTCCCCATGGCCAATATATTCTACCACTAACACACGAGCACTAACTCTATACTAGTAATATATTCTTTTATATTCTTTGTACACAAATATGAGAAGTGAACACAAAGACAGTTGAACTACACCATATGATCATAAAATTATCTATAATGGTACCACAGGAAGGCTGCCTGTAGACAGAGGCACCAATTTAGATTTAAACTCGGAGGTCATCCTTAATCTTGTCTCTACAGGTTGTCTGACCACTGCTCTCAATTTACAGTCCTACGATTTACAGCTTCTCGTTTTCCACTAACTTTAGTCATAATCTTTATCTGCAGCTTTATCTGTAAAAAAAAAAAAAGAAAGAAATAGTATAAACTGGAACAGATCAGACTACTGTATGTTTCAATTCTTCGAGAAACCATTTTAATTTAAAGTCACATGTGAGAACACAAGTAACATTTGTTGCAAAGGTATGAGCAAAGGGAAATCACTTTCTGTCCTTCATTTACAGACTCTTGTTCCTCTTGTTCCTCTGCCTTACAGGAGAACATGTGTAGCTAAGTAGAAATTTCCAAAAACTGAGTTTGACTCCGTTTCTAAGAAGACTTGGGAGTTTGCTTTGTTGTTGTTCTGTCACTAAGTCGTGTCCAACTCTGTGACCTTGTGGACTGCAGCACACCAGGCTCCCTCGTCTTCCACTATCTCCCGCAGTTTGCTCAAATTCACATCCATTGAGTCGATAATGCCATCTAAACATCTCATTCTCTGCCATCCCCTTCTTTTGCCTTCCATCTTTCCTGGCATCAGGGTCTTTTCCAATGACTCAGCTCTTAGCATCAGGTGGCCAAAATACTGGAGCTTCAGCTAGAAATGCAATTTTGGACACCTTCCCTTAGACCTACTAAACTGAAAATGGGGCCAGGGCCAAGAAGAAATCTGAAGTAACTAGGCGGATCAGGGAAGTGATAAGGGTCTTATTTTTTGTAGATAACTGATAAGTAGAACCACCACCAACCCCTCCATCTTCTCTCTCATCATCTCATCACTGACTTTGGTCTCTTTCTCTTGAACAGAATTATGAAGATTTAATTTTGGCAAGTCATAACTGCCCCAAATGTGCATTTATGTGCAGCTGGGATGCGCTTCCCATGTGGCTCACTGGTAAGTGGTAAGGCATCCACCTGCCAATGAAGTCTGCCAATGAAGGAGACACCTGGATCAGGAAGATACCTTGCCTGGAGTAGGAAATTGCAACCCATTCCAGTATTTTTGCCAGGAAAATCAAATGACAGAGGAGCCTCGTAGGCTACAGTCCATGGGATCACAAGAGTCGGTCCACTGGATTGAATGATGTATAGAAAAGAGATTCAGTCATATTTACTTAAAGGAGCCTTGAAGAAGGCTGCTTCAAACTGAAATGTGAAAGGTTCTATTCAGATTACTGGCAAATATAAACCTTCTATGTAAAGACAGAAAGAAAAAAATGTAACATCTTGATAGGAAGAGCTGTAATTAGCAAGATCCTAAAGTACCCAAGGGTTTCAGTCCATACTGAAATATAAGACTACAGCAAGTCAAATTCTAATTGTAATTAACCTAATTTCAACCTTTTTCAGGCTTAACAATCTAACAAGGTCTGAACTTCTGCACAACTATAGGGCAACTTTCTGCAAGCTTTGAAGCTGTCTGAGCACCACCTACACAAATATTAGTTTCCCCTAAGATTTAAAACTTAAAAAAAAAAAAAGAGCATGTGTTCAGTAAGTAGCAATTGTATAATGTCTTTGCTGGTACTCATGTTCATTTCCACATCTCTCCTCTGTCCCTGCAGGCAAACACCCTGACTACATTTGTTTCCAAGGTACACATTTAACCAATCAGTTAAGAAAGACTAAGGCAGCCAACAGGGAAAGAAGACCTGGATGTCAAGCCGTAAGATTTTACGCAACTGGAGTAATTTAGCCAGAAGACAAAGGAGTCACCTCCAGCACTATTCCTGGCAAAGTAAATGCATGTGGGAAGTTACATCATAAATGTGATTTAATGTAAGGACTGAGAACTAGAACTATTCAGCAATGGCATAAGTTCCTGCGATCCAGAACTAGCAGCACTGAAGAACTCAAGCAGACACAAAATCGCCCGATACTGTGACATCAAGGGAAACCCTAGAATACAAGCCCTAACTAGTTACTGCCAAATACTAAGCATCATTTTACAGGGGCATTTGGTACATAACGTCTGGGTTTCTGGTTTGTTTTTCGTGCCTTTTTTCTCTCAGTCTTCCTAGTGATATCCCTCCTTGCCAACCCATCTCTACGTCTAAGAGATTATGACATGATAGTGTAAGTTACAACAGAAAGAGGAAAATATGTCAACTCTTCCAAGAATTTCTCCCGTTACAAAACCAATCAAGACACAAGCACTTTTCTTTTTTAAATGCCACGGCCAAAAGCCATCACCAAATTCATCTTGATATTGTCCAGGCTGAGCTTGCCTTTGTTGTTAAAGGCTGGGCCACAGGATTTCTAAGCATCCTTCCGCCTTGAAGATTCCATGATGCCAACCAGACATTGTCCGGTAATAAAGACAAATACAACTGACTAGAATCCCTGACTGCTGTACCTCCTGGAAGCCGAAGCACTTTTACCAAGATACATACAAGAAACCCCAAAAGCTTGTGAGCGTACAAGAGAACCAAACAAGACCCTCAAAGTACTTATAGGTAGGCATCTGGGATTGTTAATAGAAATTACAGAATATTAAGTAAGTTGGCAGTTAATCACTTAATCTGCTGTGACATTTCTTACTTTGTTACTTAATTCTTGACAAGTACATGTACCCTGGGCTTCCCCATTTCTCAAACCAGACTGTAAATTCCTTGTGTTTAAGAACCAGAGTTTATTCTGCCTTTTATCTTCTAGAGGACATGTACAAATAATACTTAGCAGTGTCTAAATTCAAAATTACAACTTGCAAGTTGTAAACAATTTCATTGTTTTAATACCCCACACTCAGGAAAACTAGAAGCAATAGCCATTTCTATTTTACAGAACCCCTCTAATAAGTCATCAGAACAGCCTGGTGGGGGCAGCATAACACAGTTCTTTGGGAAAACTATGTCTAGGTTTTTAAGCTGTTAAAGTAACACAATGAGATAGATTTTTTTTTTAATGAGACAGAAGTTTTAAGAGAAATATTTAGAAAAGACTAACCAACAAGAAAATGCAGAGGATTCTGAGCAATTAAAAACAAATTTCCAACATCCAAACAACTTCTAAGGATTATACCCTTGAAGAAAATAGCCCTAGTCAAATTCCTAGATACAGGGGGAAAAGGGGTTCAAATTAGAACACAGCACTATCTTGAATTCTCTTCAAAGGAGTTTGCTATCAAACACAAAACAAATATTTATAATACAATACATTCCCTGCCTTTTCTTCAACATCTAGCTCTATGTCTCCCATTGTAAGCAGAAATACTTATTTACAGAATAACTGAATGAGGTTAGTCCCAGAAAGATACACATACCAGGCACCGAATAAAGCCCTACAGAAACAATGATAAACAAAATAAGGCCCCTGTTCTCAAAAAGCTCAAAGTTTACAATAAATGAATGAATATATATGTGGTATTCCCCTAGACAAAGCAGAAAGATTTTTAATAGTTCATGTTAGTACTTAAAACAAACTGAAAGTAATGTCAAGTATTAAAACCCAAGACATCAATTAGTCTGTACTTTTTACTGGATAGCAGTTTCAAGTAAAAGCTATAGGTTGCTTTATATGAAAAACAAAAATAGCGTGTCTAACTAACCCTGTATCTGATACAAAATGCTTATTAGAAATAGCTTACTCGATGATGTAAATTTCTTAAATATATTAATCTATTAGGGTTCATGTGCAAGAAATTCATGCTGGTCCTGGAGTGGTCTAGAATATTTCAGAAACTCAAAGATAGGTAGGCAAAGAGGAACTGATCAGTCTAGTGAGCTGTTTTGAATTCTGATGACACTGGTGAGGAACTAGAAAAGGAGAAGTAGATCAGGGAAAAGTTTCTAACAGAGAGGAAAGTAAAGTGCACAAGTGACAATGCTTTCTCTGCAGACACAGAGTTGAGCTTGAGCTCAGACACAGACACAACAGGATAATAATGAGACAAGTAATATAAAGTAATGTCAAGCTAGTGATGGGTATTCAAAGCCAAACAATAACGGAGATTAGAGTCGGTGTGTACTGATAAAATTAAGGCACTGCATGGAGTTCTTAAAGAATCCACATATTAATGGACGATTATTCTCAGTGCATGCAGACAGATTGGAACTGCAGGGTAAAAGACTAGAAAATTCAGGAATATAAAGGTTACACTAGTTTATTTTAAAAGATTGAGCTAGCACATATAAAGCAATTGCAGCACTGCAGAGAAAATGGAAATAACAGACTCAAAGACCTGGTTCCACGAGCAGGAATTTTAAAATTCTCATTCTTTGGGATAGATACTGCACAATATTCTCAGATCTACAGATGACTGAAAAAAAAACTACCTGAAACAGCTTTTATGCTTTCTCTATCCCGTTACTGAAAATAATTAAGCTTACCATTCATGTCTTATCTTAAATGTATCATATTAAGCACTGAGAACGCTTCACCCCTGTTAATACCAGGACAGTGAGTTCTGTATATTAAAAAATATTGTGAAGTACTGATATCTGCATATAAATTACCCCCCAGGTGAATAACGGCGTTTCAACTGATTTTTCAACCGACAGAAAAACAAAAGCTTCTAGTCGCTTACTGATCACTTAAGAAAAAAACTCAAGTACGACATCCAATTAAATGCCCTTATCTTAGACGCACAGCCACACGTCCGCATAACCGTCCTCTACTAATCACTTATTTTTTTCAAATATGTTCATCTGACATCCCAAACCCCAAACAAAATCCGTCTCGCTGCGGAGCGACGAGCTCCCCTACTCCCTTAAGACGCGTGGACTTGAAAACAAGACACCTTCCAGCCAGGGTGGGGGGAAAGGGAATGCCAGCTCGTAAACACCTAAGGTGGTGGAGAGGACCCCCCGGGCCGGCACTCGGTTCGGAGACAAAGCTCAGAACCGCCCAGCCCGGTAACACACAAGAGGAGAAATCACAAAACCTCCCCGCTCCGGGAGGGGCCCGAGAGACCCGGGAAGACGTTACAAACGGATGACACCGCGGTGGGGCCGGCGGTCGGGCCCCCCTTCTCGCCCGCAGGCCGGTGGCGGCGATCCCCGGCCCGGCAGGGCTGCGGGGATGCGGGCTCCGGGCCACACCGCCAAACCCCCTTTTGGAACCGGCGAGTTCGCAGGCCAGGGGCTGGGGTGGGGGGATCGGCGACAATAAAAGGAGGGAGGAGTCAGCCCACCTTTCTCCCCGCGCGCGCCGCGCCGCGCCGCTCGGCCCGGTGCGGGGAGGCGGCGGGCGGTGCGGCGGCTCCGCAGCGGGGCCGCGCGCCCGGGCCTCGGCGGCCGGCGGGGGTTGACGCAGCGCGGCAACCGCGGGGACCGCAACGCCGGCTAGCTTCCCACCTCCACCCGCCCCCGCCCGGCGGCCCGGCAGCCCGGCCGCCCGCCCCCTTCCCCCGCGGTCTCGGTCCCCTCCCCGCGCCCGGCGCCGGCCGCTCTGCGTCTCACCTGCAGGTGACCTGCTTAGTCCAGCCGCCGCCGCCGCCGCCGTCGCTGCCGCCTCCCCCGCCCCCCGCCCCCGGGGACAGCGAAGTGACTGCGGGGATAGGGGTGGGGGAGGCCGCTGCCGCCGCCGCCGCTGCCGCTCCTGCTCCTGATGGTGTGGCTGTTGTTCCGGGAGCTGCAGCCTCCGCCATTACTGTTTATCCCACACAGCAATGGCGCCGGAACTTCCGGGATCACATAATTCCGGTCCGGCCGCGGCGAGGAGAAGGCGGCCAGGCGACGGGTGGGGAGGGGAAGGACACTGAAGCGCCGGCTCGCTCCCCTCGGCCCCGGCGTCGCGTCGACGAGCGCTCTCGCCGCTCGAACTGCGGGGCCGGGGCCCGAGCGCTCCCCCGGCCCGCCCCCAGAGCCCTGATTGGTGGACGAGGCGGCTCCGCCCTGGAGGGGCGGGGCGAGGGCGGGCTCCCCCAGGTAAGGGCCTACCCCCCGCCCCACCTACTGCCCCCAGGTTCCTCGCCTAGGGAACCAAAGTCCTCATTTCAAGGGCACTCACCTGGAGGAGTCCTTCCCAGCAGAGGCTGGTGCAGTGGAAAGGCAGAACTGGGGTTGGGGTCGGGGGGGTCCTGGGTTTGAATCCAGACTTTGCTGGTTCTACCAGTTAACGTAACTGTACGAACTTCGACAGGATACCCATTATCTCTAGCCTCAGTCTCCTTGTCCGAGTAGGCTTTATATATGTGGCAATTCACTGAGCTTTTAGTGCCTGGCCAGACTGAACACCTTTCTTTTTTTTTTCAGACTGAACACTTAACAAATGTTCCCTCCTGTTCTTCCCGTTAGAGGTGTGATCTCTCAACCCAAGAGAAGAGCAAGGTGGCTAAGCAAAGGCTATGCAGTCGGCTTGTCTCCCTTAACCTCTGGCCATTCCTAACAATGTAGTTTTGAGTCAGTTAACTTACCTCTTAGTGTTCCTCCTCTCCGTCTGTAAAATAAAAAATAATTTAAAAATAATAACAGGACCTACTCCCCAGAAAGTCTTCCCTAGTAGCTCAGATGGTAAAGAATCCGCCTGCAAACTGGGGAGACCTGGCTTCGGTCCCTGGGTCGGGAAGATCCCTGGGTTGGGAAGATCCCCTGAAGGAGGGCATGGCAAACCTCTCCAGTATTCTTGCTGAGACAATCCGAATGGACAGGAATCTGGCGGGCCACAGTCCATGGGGTCGCAAAGAATCGGACACGACTGAGCCACTAACCACACCTCTCTGAAGCACATCTCTGAAGATGGTTGTGAAACTTAAAGTTCATGTAAAACCCTTAACAGTGTGCTTCACACGACAGTTTTCATAGATACTGAATAATAAAAGCTGTCGGAAATATCCCAGCTTCAAAGAGTTATTTCTAAAACTAAGAAAATTAAAAAGTATTTACTCTTACCTCCCCGTTTATGCTCCCGGTCCACTCAGATGCTGCATACTAAATCCTGAGCAGTTTTTCATAAGCCCTTAAATTTGTTTTACGTAATCTCTTTACCTTGAGAAAGTGAAAATCCATCCCACTGATAATCAGACCACAATGTACCCAACAGACACAAACAAGGACAGTGGCAAAGCCAACTGAAAACAATGGTTCCCTCAAGGCCACAGCGGGGTTGCAAAATGACTGACAATCCCCTTTTGAGAAAATGCAACATTTTTACTAATGACTTGCCCAGCCCGGCTTCATTTCTCCCTCCATTACCGAGTCCAAGCTCAGATCTGCTTGCTGACGACAGGCTAAAAAACTGAGAGATGAGGCGTAGAGGCCGGGAATAGGAAAGTATCACCTGAGGACCGACGTGGTAGCAGACTAGGTCCCTGAAACACCATCCTATGGGGTCCTGGATGCCAGTTTCTTTTATAGAACAGGGAGAGACAGGAGGTGAGGAAGTAGCTTTATCTTGCAAAATAGGAGGGGCTGTGTTAATCATTTTTTTTCTTGCAGCCATTGACAGGTGGGCATGGTCAGATTGTCTCCCAGTGAGCGGAACAAAGCCACTTTAGTTTAACTTTGGGCAGAGGGCAGGGTTCCCTGAGGCAGGCCATAATGTATGATTATAACAACAAGAGCAATGAAAATCAAGGTTTCAGTCAAAGAATCAGATCCAACATGGAGTCAGACTTGGCTCTTCCCTGTTACCTGAGCTCCCAAAGATTTATAAGATACCCACTTGCTAAACTGCTGCACCTCACGACAGCACCCAACCCAGAGCTGGTCTTCCATCTGCTTGTGCTGTTATCCAAAAAGAGCTTCAATCCTGTGAGAAGCCCCTCCCTACTCCCTTTTCCAAGATGCCCACCTTCCTCCCCCATGTGGCCTCGCCTGCTGCAGCAAGTTAACCTCTTTGTTGGACTACAGGTGTGTTCCTGGTAGTTTTTATCTGTTAGGGTTTACCTGTTAAGTAACAACATTTTTCTTGTGTTGGGTGTGGGGGGCACACTGCACTGCCTGCGGGATCTTAGTTCCCCCAGCAAGAATCGAACCCGTGCCCCCTACAGTGCAATTGCAGAGTCTTAACTACTGGACTGCCAGGGAAGTCTTTGCTCTATTTCTTATTGCATAGTTTTCACCTTCTAATTACTCTAGAATTTGCTTTCTTTTTTTTTTTTTTTGGGTCTGTTTTTCCTAGCTAGAATATAAGCTTTGTAAGGCCAGGGATCTTTGCCTATTTTGTTCTGATATAGCACAAGTCTCTAGAACTATGTGTGACATATAGTAGTTGCTCAATAAAATATTTGGGCTATGGGTGAGAGAATTCTCTGATGTTAGAAAAGTTAACTGTGTCTTGTTTCACCATCTATACCAATAGGAATAATGAACAAAGAGTCATCTCTTTCTCTGGGAGAACGTTTTAGCACAAGAGCAATTTATGCATTTCTTCACACACAAAACATTTATCAGTGATTCTGCTGAGCCAGTGCTAGCCAAACAGGTTATATAGGAATCATGAGCAAGTTTTATGCCTGAACATAGTAGCCCGGTGACACTGGGCAAACTCCTGCCATAAGTAAGGCAGGTGAAATAAGTCTAGTAGTACGCCTTATAAGTATTTAGTGTGTTTATGTATAGATAGATACACACACACACACACACACACACACACACACACACACACATATATATGGCTCAAGGAACAGTCCCTGGACATAGTAACTGCTAGGTAAGTATTTGCTGTTGTTTTCATTGATGATGTTATATGATAGCAAAAAAAGGTTGCCAGATTTAGCAAATAAAAAATACAGGATGCTCAGTTAAATTTGAACTTCATATAAATAACAAATTGAGTTTCAAATCCCAAATATTGCATGGGATATATACATAAAGCATTTGCTGTTTGTCTGAATTTCCAATACAACTCGGAATCCTGTATTTTGTCTGGCAGCCCTACATCAGAACGATACTTGGAGCTTTTCAAAGACCTTTCGCCCACCTTGTCCGTTTTGTTTCACAGTAAGTTTTTGAAGATGGACAAGCACAGATGATGTCGCCCCTTTAAATATGAGAAGATGAAGCTGGAGAGACAGGCAGAGATGCTGTGCAGGATCACACAGGCTGTGAGTGACAGAGGAGAGCTTGAATCTTGGGAATTTTAGCTGTGGGGCTAGTGTTCCTTCCCCTACTGGTGCTGAAAGTCAGGCTCTCCCCCAGAGGAACTTTTTAATTTAAAAGGGAAGACTACAGAGTGGCCTAAGCAGAAGCAATGCACTTATTGGTGTCTGCTGAGTGCTACAAAATTAAAGAAAGTATAAAAGATAGGGCTGGCATCCTGCCAAGTCACAGAGGATTCTATTGCTGTGAGCAGATCTACTTGATACTGTGTTGCACAAACTTTGAGAATCTTAATGTGGAAACTCTACACCATAAACACCAATATCAATCTTCCTGTTATTTTCTTTTCAAAGGGAGTTTTAATAACGATTTGTTTCCTGTAAAAACACTTTATATTTTCACAGAAGTCAGTGGTTCCCTGCTTTTCTCAGTCTAAGTATCCTCTCCCACAGTCTATGGATTATTTTGTATTAAATGCTTTGTTACTTTTTGGTTTATATAAAAAAAGTTTTCTTGTATGGGACTTCCTGGTGGTCCAGTGGTTAAGACTCCATGCTTCCACTGCAAGGGGCATAGGTTCAATCCCTCCTGGGGAAACTAATAAGATCACGCATGCCTTGTGTAGCATAGCAAAACAAACAAACAAACAAAAAACACTACAATAATACAGTCATGTGACTAAATATTTTTAAAAGTAGAAAAGGGCATGACAAAGATTCTCTCCTTGACCACATTCTACTCAGGACCCACTAAACTTTTCAATGAGGCCTCAATTTTTGTATGTCCACAATTTTAGCAAGAATCCTCTTAAATTGGTTTAGCCAGAATCCTCCATACTCTATATATTATCCCCCTCCACATCTGATCAGGTGGTGGCTCAGATGGTAAAGCGTCTGCCTAGAACGCGGGTGACCGGGGTTCAGTCCCTGGGTCTGGAAGATCTCCTGGAGAAGGAAATGGCAACCCACTCCAGTATTCTTGCCTGGAAAATCCCAAGGATGGAGGAGCCAGGTAGGCTATAGTCCACGGGGTCGCAAAGAGTCAGACATGACTGAGCAACTTCACTTTCACTTTCTTTCACTATCTCAGATGATAACTCATGCCCTGACCTGCCTCCACTAAGAATCCTGTTATGTCACTTTAGCCAGAATCCCCACCCTCCTTTCCTCTTAGAATGTTCTATCCAGTTAACCCGCTCACCCCTCATTCTGCTCCTTGGCTATAAATTGTTAACAATCTTTTAGTGCTTCAATTAATATTTTATATATGATATTTTGCACATGTGAGATGATGTCTGCAGGATAAATTCCTAAAACTGGCATTGCTGAATCAAAGAGAATGGGGGTCCGTGACAATAACAGATTTGACGAAAGCATCTTCCAATATGCGAACCCACCGACAATGTAGAAGGATCCTGCCTGCAAACACCTCAATCCAACTAGTCATCAAAATTTGGGATATTAGCAATTGGGTGGGGAAATAACATTTCAGTGTAGTTTTTTTTTTCCAGTGCAGTTTTAATTGTTATTTCACTATTTCAATTTTTTTTCCTTTTTCTTTCTTTTTTTTAAATTTGTGTGTGTGTGTGTGTGTGTGTGTGTGTGTTTTTTTTTTTTTTCCTCTGTGTCCGGCGACTTGCAGGATCTTAGTCCCAGACCGGGGATTGAACTCTTGCCTTGGGCAGTGAAAATACAAGGTCCTAATGGTGCTGATGGTTCACCAGATGGTCAACACTGAAATCAGGTTGATTATATTCTTTGCAGCCAAAGATGGAGAAGCTCTATACAGTCAGCAAAAACAAGACCAGGAGCTGACTGTGACTCAGATCATGAACTCCTGATTGCCAAATTCAGACTTAAACTGAAGAGAGTGGGATAACCACTAGACCATTCAGGTATGACCTAAATCAAATCCCTTATGACTATACAGTGGAAATGAGAAGTAGATTTAAGGGACTAGATCTGATAGACAGAGAGCCTGATGAACTATGGACGGAGGTTCGTGACATCGTACAGGAGACAGGGATCCAGACCATTCCCATGAAAAGAAATGCAAAAAGGCAAAATGGTTGTCTGAGGAGGCCTTACAAATAGCTGTGAAACGAAGAGAAGCAAAAAGCAAAGGAGAAAAGGAAAGATACCCATTTGAATGCAGAATTCCAAAGAATAGCAAGGAGAGATAAAGACTTCTTCAGTGATCAATGCAAAGAAATAGAGGAAAACAATAGAATGGAAAAGACTAGAAATCTCTTCAAGAAAATTAGAGATACCAAGGGAAATTTTCATGCAAAGATGGGCACAATAAAGGAGAGAAATGGTATGGACTTAACAGAAGCAGAAGATATTAAGAAGAGGTGGCAAGAATACACAGAAGAACTGTACAAAAAAGATCTTCACA